AAATTGTTATGTACAAAAAAGGTTATTGTAACAAAAGATATTACAACAATATTTTTTGTTACATTTAAATAAGACAAATATCATCATCATCATTTCAGCCTATCCAAGTCCACCACTGAACTTAGGTCTCCCCCAAATAAATCCACTAAGCGCGGTTCTGAGCCACAAAGATTTATAGGAAAATATATTTAACGGCTTTTACGCTAGAATGAAATAATCGCCTAAAACAGAGTGTATAATACCAATATAAAACACAGGAAATTAAACAAGAACGTATATTTCGACTTTGCCTTCTAATTTGTTACCAGAGGTCGATAGTAATGCATATAAATTAAGTTTTTGCCTTTTTCGCAATACGACTTTACCACAAGCAAACAAGATATTGATTTAGGAAATTAATATATTGTAAATTGATATATCGTCGTATGTTTGTAGCATATACGATATGATGAGGTTTACTAAACATTTTGTAATGTAGACTCGATAATTTAAAAATGTAAACGTATCTCTATATCTATCAATAAATGTACATAGTATTTATCTAATCATATGATATAATTTATGTATAATCATGCATGCTGTTCAGCCTTCTCTATAAAATGTCACGAACTGTAACAGAAATTGTATCAGCGTGGCTTGAATGCCACATGACCGCGTAAAAAGTTTTTAAGAAAAGTAATATTGCAATTAACTTTTACTAGTATCTTTTCTTTCAAGTACTAAAAACTATGCCGCTATCGCGGCACTAAGCAGCGAGGAATGGGTATTATTAATATTATAATTACATAATATTTCAAAATATATCAAATGTTTTTTGAAGTAATGACATATTAATTTAGCACATTTAGCACATTATATCATACGAAGTATAGTTTACGAGTGACTTATTAGTCTATTTAAAAAATTAATTACAAAAATGTTAATATAAGCCAATTTATTTTAATGCTGAATGAAACTATAAATGAAAAAAATTTATTGGTACAAACTATTTTTTCTTGAGTTTTTTTTTATCTTTTTTTTTTAATAATAATAATAATAATATAGTAAGGATAGTAAGGATGTTTTAATCAACGTTATATTACTAAACCAACGGTAAACAATTGAAGATTATTCTTTATTCATGTGTAACTTCATCTTATTGTCAAAATGGGTTACGAACCTGAGAGCAATCAATATTCAGTACACGTAGTATACTCGATTACATCATAAAAAAAATAAAGTATCAGCCTATACATGTCCCATTGCTAGGCAAAGGCATCGTCTGTACAAAGGGTATCACGGCGTAGTCTACCAAGGGACCTCACTGCGGATTGGCGGACTTATTTCGTACACATATTTTCGAAATATTTTTTTATTGTTATTTCGAAAATGCGCAGGTTTCCTCACAATGTTTTCAGTCACCGCTGAGCACGTAATAAGTCAACACTTAACATTATCATTTTCGTTGATACCGGCACCGGGGTCTAACAGTTTGATCGAGTATATTAAGCAAGGTGTTTGAGAAAATAATGCTGGATCAAATGATAGTTCGTTTTAACAAATATAAAATTTTAAACCAGCACCAATTTGGATTTACTAAAGGTAGATCTACAACTGATGCAGGGATAGAATTAGTTTCACATATCCTGCAGCCCTGGGAAAGCTTTTATGACACCATTGGTGTGTTCTGTGACCTTTCCAAGGCATTTGACGGTGTAGATCGTACAATTCTAAACTGGAAATAGGAATATTGTGGTATTCGAAATAGTGCCATTGACTTTGTTTCCTCATATCTTACTGACAGGGAAATAAAAGTAATCATAAATGGTATTTTGTCAACGGGGTGAAAAGTAAAAATGGGCGTTCCTCAAGGATCGATCCTGGGCCCTTTTCTGTTTTTAGTCTATATTAATGATTTGCCATATATAGTGAAAAAAAGGTCTCAAATTGTTTTGTTTGCGGATGACACTTCATTATTGTTTAAAGTTAAAAGGAAAGATGATGCACTGGAACAACCAAATGAAATACTAGATGTTGTGTCTGGCTGGTTTGCTACCAATAACTTACTTTTGAACTCCAATAAAACAAAATGTATTAGATTTACTCTTTCAAAGTTGTGTCACCAATCAGGAATCTCTATTGATGAGAAAATCCTACCCCTTGAGGATTCAACAGCATTTCTTGGAATAAGCGTTGACTCCAAGTTGCAATGGGGATTTCATGTAGATAAGTTAGCTAAGAAATTGAGCGCTGCCGTCTTTGCCATACGCAAAATCAGACAGCTAACTAACGAGGAAACAGCTAAATTAGTTTATTATGCCTATTTTCACAGCACAATGTCCTATGGTGTCTTACTTTGGGGTTCCGCATCCGGTTTAGACACAATATTTGTATTACAAAAGCAGGCTATACGGGCCGTCTATGGCTTGGGTCCACGTGAGTCACTACGGCATATATTTAAGCAAATAAACGTTTTGACGCTCCCGTCGCTTTACATACTTGAGAACATCATGTATGTACGTAAGAATATCCATCTATTTACGAAAAAACAATCTACATCGCGTCGAGGCCGTGGTGACACTCTGGAAGTACCGAGGTTTAGATTGGCTAAAACCAGACTAAGTCGTTTCTTGGAAGATGCATCAACTTTTATAATAAAATAGGTGACATCCACAAACAACTAAGTATAAACAATTTGTAAAAGCTACCTTAATGGCAAGGGCCTACTATAATATCCAAGAATACATTAAGGACAAGGATGTTTGGAACTTGCAAGACCCCTGGCTGCTCTGCACTTGCAAGACCCCTGGCTGCTGCTGATTTTATACCTAAATAAGTGTGTATAATTGCATAAAAAAAAATATAACAAAAAGAACAAGACCGCAGAGTTTCTTGCCGATTCTTCTCTGTGCAGGTCTAGTTTAGTGAACCGGTGGTAGATTTTTGTTGACGTTCAATAAGAGCTTAAGTTAGGCCCATATTGAATAAATATACTTTGACTTTGACTTTGACTTGACTATATTGAATTATAGGCAAGCGCCCGGGCACTGAGCTATCATGGCCCATTACATCATACTAAACTTATTATTGCACAAATTTGATATACTGCAATGTTTTGCAATAAAATAATCTTTTCTAATGTCCCGACTACATGCATTATGCAGTAACGTTCCTAATCTAAATTCTATAATAAATTTCTTTTAGACTGAAACTGATAAGGAATTGATTTAAGAACGGTACTATTTAAACCAGGTACCAACAAAACGCTGGCACAGTAACGTGGGTCAGCTGTTGAAATAACTCGTTCTCTTAAAAACGATTAAAAACTTATTATTAACATTCTTTTGTGAAAAATTCAACTGAAATGAGAGCCGGTAGGAATATTTCCAATTTTTCTATGGAAGTAATACGTTGCACAGAGTTGAAACTAGATTTAGTGTTAAGATTGTCGCCATGGCCCTTGGAACACCTATGGCGTTCCATTTGAGTTGCTGTCTGATTACAGAAAGGGCTACAGTTACCTCACCAGTCGAAAAAAAAAGTTGAGACTTACTTCAGTCTCCTGTACCCCTGGTTCCATCACGGTAAACGGTTGCCCAATAATTATAATTTTTATTTTAAAAAAAGTAGAAACTACAACTTCTATGTAATAATTTGTATTTCTTAGTAATTTACACCTTGCCAGTTTTTGATTTTGAATTGTTTTAATTTAAATAAAAATTGCGATCCTTTGTAAATTACCTCTATAAGGTTTTGATGACTCTGTGCCGCAATTGCTAAGGTATTGTGACATCCGCGCTGGGTGTCGTGGGTTCGATTTCCACACGGGTATACTATTTATGTGTCCCACAGATAATTAATTCAGATATGGATGGTTTTCCACGTGAAATTTATGTTTGTAAAACGTCCATACAACACAGAATAATGTGATCCTATAGAAAGGGCAATATTTTTTTTAAATAATTAGAAATCAGATTTCAATGATTCCGTCTTAAGAAGACGTCTCTATCTACTACTTTCATGGGAATAGTCGACATTTTAAATATGAGTAAAATTTTCAGCCGAAGATTTTGTGAGTCAGCTGTTGAGCAACCAAGCGAGTGAAACTCCGTCGGACGTTAAGAACATCAAAGAGATAACAACAGAGCTACCGGAATGGTACAACGAGGCGAAATTTAATCAGTGAGTTTTTTTGAAAAATGTTTATTTTTAGACTGAAAGCTTTATTGAAATGAAATAGAATATATTTGGAATTTTAGTATTTATTTTCATGATCGGCGTGTTATCGTTAAATATATTTATAACAAAAAAAAAGATGTTAAAATCGGTTACGCATGAACATTTTTTAAATGTCACTTAGATGTTAACTAACTGTGTTTTATATGTACTCGTATATCTAAGTTCATTTATCTTCATCGAAAAGATGTCCATGCGTAATACATGACATTATAACATTACATAACATACATGACGTAATACATATGACATTATTTAAAAATATTTTTTTTTTAAATATACATTTACCTTTATACATTTAAAATTAATATTTAAATGGTATTTTTGAAACGAATTATTTTTAAATTAAACACACTTAAAAGTTAACTAATGAAAAAATTTAGAATTACAGCTACGTTTAACGGTGGTCGTAAGATTTGTACAGATTTTGCTTACGTATAAATGTTTTATAATATAATTGGATGACTTACATATGCGTTGTTGCGATTTTATTTGAGGACAAGGTTTTTTTTTATGTGAAAATTTGATAAGCGAGCAGGCGGTTCACTTGATGCTAAGTGAATACCGCATCCATACAGAATACAGATGCGTTGAAAACATTTTGAAAATTGGGCTCCGGCTACCTCACTCAACAGACGAAACGCGAAAGTATTTGTGTTACTTTCACTTTAAGCCGATCTTCTGTGAGGTCGTACTTACCAGGACGAGCCTGCCCATTCGTGCGACAGCCGAGGCTGCTGCGTGGCTCTACCACAGTAAAAGTTGTTGATCTGGTTTATGAGCTGATGAGTTTCAGGGCCCGACGCTTCTATTGGCACAACTGCTACGGATTGACCCTGGCTATGTTATTGGGACTCGTGAACGTGCTGGCTGTGCCGTCGATCTTGAGGATCCTGGTGGGAGCCAGGCGCTCCAACGACGTGTACCCAGCGTTCAAGCGGTACCTCTCGACATTCCTCCACGCCGTCTCCTGGTTTGAATCCGACATGCATCGCGGCAGCCAGTGAGTAAGAGTGCAAATCATTACGTAATTACTAGCTTAGACAATTTTACTAATCACTGTGGCTTCGAGCACAGACTCAAAATGTAGTATGAATAAAGTATTTCGTCTAGGAAATCAAGCTGTCGATTGATTTAAAGGTTTAAATTTATAGATCTTCTCATTCTTATTGACGGAAATCTCTCTCGAATCAACGCGACAGCGAACTATGCTAATAATTACCAGCGTAAACAAGTCATGGAACAAATTTTGCGAGGTTTATTTGGTCTGTCTAACTAATCACATTAGCAGTAACTTTAAAGCAACAAATGCTTTAGGAGGCAGTAAATACTTTAGGATTTAAGTTTGCTATTTTAGTGCTTATCTGCACCCAAGGTGCAATTAAATTGATAAGTTGTCGAAATCAATTAGGCACTGTCCGGATTCGAATACGGACCGTACGAAAATGCAAAATAAAAACTAGATTGTAGTGGAGATAACAATCTATTTTTTATTTTAGATTGGATTGTGGCCGAGATAATAATCTACTTTTTAATTTGCATTTTTAACAATCGCGCCACCTAGTGTGCCACTTAGTAGTATGCTGACACTCGAATAATACTTTGGAGTGAATATTCAACGAATATTTCGACGAACTTCAAAATTTCGACAGCCTTTGCTGTTGAAATTTTTAAGTTACACCTCTTTTGGTGCGTTTGGAAAGAAATGTGTGAGTAAAATTTTTAAATTGCGCGCGCAGGCCGACGGTCAAAAAACGACATGATGAAGCTAGTTGCAGTGCGACCAACTTCATGGTAATTTCTTGGCAACCAATAACACATTTGTGACATTTAGTTAGTTCCTTAGTTGAATAACATTTTTAGTTATCTTTTTTCTTCTTACGTGCATACACACATACTTTTTTATGAGACAATTTTTCTTTTAAACTTGATACTTTTTTAAAACTTTTTCAATATAACATACGTTTTGCAGGTCATGGGAGTCCATACTTAATGTGCGGAGACGGCACATAGTGATGACGCAGGCAGCAAAATTGAAGGGTCAGGGTATGATCTCTCAGAGGGATCTGGCCCTCACGCATTTTGGCTTTATCGGCCTCGCGGTCCTTAAGCACGATAAGTTTGGCATCCAGACCTTGGAGGAGGATGATTGGGAAGCTTACAATCAGTTCTGGCGGGTCATTGGTTTCATGATTGGAATCGAAGATAGGTGGGTTCGAAGTTCTGTTTTTTCCCCCAAAAAATGGAGACATTATACAACAAATGTACGTAATACGAAAAAAGTATACTATCACATATATAAATTAAAGTAACAGCCTCTACATATCCCTCTACGAGGCAAAGGCCTCTTCTGTATAAAGGGTAGGCATAGTCCACCACGTGGACCTACAACGGATTGGAGAACTTTACATATCTTCGAAATATCTTTTTAGTTATTATTTCGAATATGCAGGTTTCCTCACGATGTTTAAGAAATTATAGAAATTATACAATATTTATAAAAATACAATATTTTTAAAAGTAACAATACAATTTTCATACAAGTTAACTGTTTAAAAAACTTCTAAATCATTTAAATGATTAAAGTAAAGTAAAGTAACAGCCTATACATGTCCCACTGCTGGGCAAAGGCCTCCTCTATATAGAGGGTATCAGGGCATAGTCCACCACGCGGCCCCACTGCGGATTGGCGGACATTATTTAAATGATTGTAGATAAATAATAAACTCAAGTTCGAATCCCGGAGCAAATAATGTTTTTGTCAAATTTTCTACGAAAATTCCCCTTTTTAGTTTTATCTTGTTTGCAGAGACTAGCATTAAAAATATAATTAATGATAGGCGACATATCTCGTTACAAAATTAATCATTACATGTATATGTACATATTTATAATTTGTTAACAGAGTGCAAAGACTAGCACTAAAATCAAAATTAATCATAAATTCTAAATTAAATATTCTTTACACCGAAATGACTATGAAATCATTTTGGTGAGAAAGAGTCAAACAGTATTGTAAAATATCCATAATATTATAGTAATTATTATCATCGGCTTCCGAATATCTTTTCATCTAAACCTATAATATAATATTTATTTATTTATATTTGTATTTATATATTTAGCCTTACTATCTTTACTAATATTATAAAGGCGAAAGTTTGTATGTATGGATGGATGTTTGTTACACTTTCACGCAAATACTACTGAATGTATTTTAATGAAACTTTACAATAATATAGCTTATACATCAGAATAAGACATAAATAGGCTATAATTTATATACATATTTCATGTAAAAATGACTAAACCGATTTTAAAAATTCTTTCACCGGTAGATAACTGCATCTATACCGAGTAATATAGGGTATATTATATTTTCAAAAAATTACAGATCCCTGCATTTTGATAAATTGAGTTACATGTAACAATGTAACTCAATTTATCAAAATGTTGCCTTACTATATATAAAATAGTGTTCTATATGTTAATATTACTCATGTTACTCATGAAAGTCAAGGATAAGCTATATTTTAACCCCGTACTCTACATGCGATAAAGACTAAAATACTAACTGACCAAAAATAACCGCTTTGAACTAGTTTAACCATCCTTTTAGCAACTCAAATGAAATTTGAGAAGCCATTTGACAGCGTTAGTAGTTAGCGTTAGCTTTTATGATGATCAGTGTTTGAGAAACCGGGCGTAAGAGCGATTAAAATTTGATAGAGATAATGATATACGGAGAAAGCTAACTAGTCGTCATCGGTTGCCCTCCGTATGGGAAAGAGTAAATAGTAAGTTAATACAATAAAATGATGACCATGTAGTCTAAACCTTAATGTTGTCATTAGTTGCCCTCCGTATGGAAAAGAATCACTACATAGTATAAGACAAAGTCGTCCCGCTGTCTGTCTGTCCCTATGTATGCTTAGATCTTTAAAACTACGCAACGGATCTTGAAGCGAATTGAATAGATAGAGTGATTCAACAGGAAAGTTTATATAGTGCATTGCACGATGGCTAGTAAATAATAAGTTAACAAATCAAAATGATAACGATGAAGTCTGAAACTCATCGACCCCTTTTCTTTTCCCACCCACCGTCCAGGTACAACATCTGTCGCGACGCGATAGCGGAGACCCGTCAGGTGTGCCGCTTGATACTGCAGCGCGTGTACACGCCTTGCTTGGCGGATACGCCGGAGTACTTCGAGTACATGGCCCGCATCATGCTCGAGGGCGTGTCCTCGGCCAACCCGACAGTGAACACGCCCTCGCTGCTGTACTGGTCCAAGTACCTCGCCGAGGTCCCCGGATACGTGTACACGGAGGACGAGCGGGTGGCATTCCAGAGGATGCTGAAGGAAAAGCTGGACGGCCGCTCCGACGACGTCGGTTCGTTTTATTTTTGACGGTTTCATATTTTATCTGTGCCACTGTCAATGTCGACTCGCCATGCCTGTTGCTATTGGTTCCACCAATTTGGCGAGTCCTCTTCTTTAGACACGCTGTGTACTGTAGATGCTGACGTTTAAGTTTTCAATCAAGAATGGTATAATAATTTCGTTTTATAACCTTGCACGGTATTCATTGCTGCAAACTCGATCTCGTCTCTGTTTTCTACGTATATTCTGGTAGTGTTTTAACGCGTGTTTAATACACACTTCTCTATATACTGCTTATGCTTATAGCTCTAACATATACTCACTTGCATATATATTTTATAAGAGACTGGCTAGCACTTGACTACCATCCCACCTGATCGTAGTACATATGCTAGACAGCCGTTGGTTATAAATGCACTCACTAGAACTTAACTCAGCAGAAGGCTATTTTATTATTCACATTCTCACTCTAAAAGTATGTTGTAATTTCGAAAACTTTAGTTACAATAGTCCTGTTCTTTTGCTATAATATTAAATTGTGTTTAAAACACGAACCTTTATTCGCAGGCGTGGATTCAGCGTCGCTTATATCTGAACCAGCCGTGGAAGGGCTGCCTGGAAACCAGCACCTCCTCTACATCCGCGACTACGACTCTTTTAAGACTATCCCGCATTACAAAGAACTGTCGTTGTCATCCCGATGCAAACTCGCCTTCAATTCGATGTTCACGTCCTTCTACGGGACGAGGTTCGGTCGGTGGCTCCTCAACTCCACGTTCCTCACCACCGTTAAGCTCATGAGGAACTACCCGAAGGTGACTTTCTTCGTCTTCAATCTGAAGGTGACCACGAACTTCTTGTTCGACTTCCCTATTGACAACAACGGGCTGAAGCCTAACTCCGCTTTCAAGAAATCGGCTAGGCCGCCTTGGTACAGACAGATCATCGAAAGCCTGGCAACTAAGAAGGGTTGAGCCAAAGCAGAGACAAAGCACAGTTGAGCCCATAACTGAAATGTATCAAAACTTGAGCTAACTATGTTGAACATCACTTAGAAACAATAACCTTTATTGACGTATTAAAATGCATTGTGACAGAAAAATTATAATTAACAAATATTATTTATTATATTTTGAGTTTTATTTATTTTATTTTTCTTAATGGAAAGAATAAGCTGTATAATATGTCTGCTTACTTCGTTTCTGATAAAGGTCAAAGAGTCGAGATCAGTCTTCTTCAAATTAAGTAATAATTTTCTATTGCCTACGGGCATGCTCATGAGCATCCATGAACATGACGGTAATTTGCCAAACTACACTCCGCACTCGACGGTGTCCGGGTAAAGCTTCATGAATTCTTCTATCAATTCAATCTTCAATGCATATTTATTAAACATTGTTCTCTGTTACATTCCATAGCCCTCAGCGAACGCAGAACTAGGGGAACGGTTGTTTGGCCGTACTCGTAGATGTGGGTGATGCGATTCATTGACTATTTTAATCAAGAACCCGCCACAAGAAAATTTAAATAGGAATACGGAAGCAATGGTAGTAATTGCTTCCGTACCTTTGTAAATAAATTATTTAAATGTTTACACGCATTTAGCCGTCATGCAGCGACCGCTTCTCACTATCTATTGATATTTGTTATCATCATCATCAGCCGCAAGATGTCCACTGTTGAATATAGGCCTCTCACTTAGAACCACCCACCCGACGGTGTCGTAGGAGGCGATCAAGGGAAAAATCCGAGAGTTGGGCAGCAGCGGCTTTCGTGTACTACTACATCTATAGCTGCGATCCCCTACACGGATCATTTTAAGCCAAGAACTGGCTTAAAAGGTTTTTCTATATATGTATATTTTAGATTTATTTATTTACTTCTCGGTTGACTGGTAGAGAACACCTAATGGTGTTAAGTCCGCCATTGTACGTGTTGGTGTTAAGTCCGTCATTGTGCATAAAGTTTTAAAATAAATAAATATAAATAATCGAATTTTCAATTTTCAATTTTGAATAATTATTTTACAAGATCAATAAGTATCAAGACGAACTTGGTGGTGAAATTGAGGAAATAATTTTACTTATTACTTGATACAGACTTAAGAAAAGGAAAATTCTTTGTCGTAGTTAATTAAATACATTAAACAATGGTATCTGGAAATAAATTTCATCAAAAAGCTACCTTTTCATTTCATTCTTGTCATGCTGGTGTAAGAAAAGTCTAGCGCCCTACCTGCCTTAATTGCTTTCGTGTACAGTACAGTGTAAACAATTAAATGACTCTACATATAAAGTAAAGTAACAGACTACAAATGTCCCACTGGGCAAAGGCCTCCTACAGAGGGTATTAGGTCATAGTCCACCACGCGGCCTGCGTATTGGCGGACTTCACATATTTTCGGAATATTGATTTTCGTTATCACTTCGAAAACATGCCGGTTTCCTCACGGTGTTTTCCTTCATCGAGCCTTCACCTTCAGAGCACGTGATAATTCAGCACTTAAAATTAACAATTTCATTGGTGCCGGCACCGGGGATCGAAATCAGGTTGCTCAAGTATATGGAATTAAGCGTTCGAACATTGAGCTATCAGGACTCTACATATATCTATCTTTTTCCTAAAGTTAATGTATTTGTTTAACTAAAATGTTTTATTGTCGCTTCCAGTTTTAAAATTATGTCAAAATACACACGTAAATCATTTATTTAATTATCATAGTCTTTATTATTTTTATTATCCCACAAAGCGCTATAATTCAATTATTGTCACCTTTTTCTCAAACGAACCTAAACTCTGGCGTTTAGTATCAAATTTCGCTAATAACAAGGGATATCAATAGAAGTAATGTTGCAATATACATCTTTGTGTTCTTTTAAATTAAAGAAGAATTAAATAAGGTGGTGAAGGTTAAGTGTAAAATGCAAGGTCAGTCGAACCTGTTTTACGCGTTAGGCGGGTGTTTTTTTTTTCATGGCTCGCTTGGCAACTTTTCAAGTTCAAGGGCAGACGGTTCACCTGATGTTAAGTGAATACCGCCGCCCATGGACATCTGCGACACCCGAGAGGACCAGATGCGTTGACAACCTTTTGAAAATTGGATACCGGCTACCTCACTCACCAGACGAAACGCGAAAGTATTATAGGTACTTCCACTTTACGCCGGTCTTCTGTGAAGTCGTGGTACTTACCCGGACGAGCCATTCGTGCAACAGCCGAGGTTGCTGCGTGACTCTATCACCGTAGAGAGAAATGTGCCTGATTTTATTAGTTGTGTGATCGAACACATTCGTTCCGTATTGATTGGTATATTTAATTATTCAATATTAATGCTTTCTTGTCCATGTGAGTACTACGCATCTTAAGGCGCTGTATGCAGTAAAAATAGGTTTTTCAAAAGATTTTTTAGCAAAATCTACACATTTTACAGCAGCAAAAAAATATAAAATATGTTAACCTTGATCGTACATTCTAATGGACCATTGTTTCCAAAACATATTCTCGATATGTTTTCTCGATAGAAAAAAATCATGAATCTACCTCTAAAAGAGAAATTCTAATCCAAAAATGAACGTAATACATCAACAAATCTTAATGAAGTTAATATCAGTGTTGTAGAAATTATTAATAAAAAGGATTGTTGTTTTAATTTTTTGATTTATGTAAGATATTTGTAAATATTAATTTAATTCATTAAAATTAATTCAAACGCGATGGTCAAAACGCCGCTCATCGCCCGCTCACCGTTACAAAATATGTTTCGTATTTATTTATTATTGACAGTTTTAATATTATTAGACCTTCCAAAAAACGAAACTAAAAAATATATATTCAGATATTTCGTATTTATAAATTATTTGTATCTATTAACAGTTGTTAATTAATTTATTTAAAGCGTAATTTCAATGTCTTATCTCGTGATTGGTCTATCAGTCCTATACATACAGTGTATAGGACTATCATTCTTTATGGGTTCAAATCCCAAAATTTTTTGTTGTACTTATTGTTGATTTTCTTATTTGGAAATATTTCTTAGTTACCATTTAATTTTTGTTGATTTTTTATTTTCATAAATAATTACAACGAAATATTATTGTATTTGTTCAAAGTTGAAACAGTTGAAGAACAATCAAGAAGAACATCAGTAAATAAACCAACTTTTAGTATTAAAATCATTAAACGTCATCTATTTTTTTATTAAAATATTTAATTTTTCACCCTAAAAAGAATCTTATACACGAAAAATAATTGTTTTATATTTTTTCTTATTAAATTGTTTATTTCCCAAATTGAGCCATTTTATAAAAAAAAAAACAAAATAATTTGTTGGCTAACAAATTAAAAGTGAAAATAATATAAAAAATACAACTCCGCTCGATGAGGGTTTGAACTTGAGACTACACCTACAGCAATAGTTTACCGTTGTGTATAAAGGCCCATTTACATGGTGCCAGTTTCTTGCCTGTTGTATAAAATTAAATTGAAGCAATAAATGAGTTGCATGGTCTAAACAACAAATGGTCTAAACAATTATTGCGCGCAATTTATTGCATTCAATTATTGCTCTTGTATGTACAAGAAAATGGCATCGTGTAAATGGGCCTTAACGCTCGGACCAACAGGCTACGCAAGGTCTGTGGAAAGTGACAAAATTTCGATTCTTGTTATAATTGCTGTCGTTTATCGATACAAATAAAGATTTTATCGATAGTTTTTTAAATTTCACTTTAGTTGAGAAAGTAATATAACATAGTAAATCTTGAACATTTAAAGAATAAATTAAAATTCCTAATATATAAAAAAATTTAATAAAAAAAGTTGAATTCGTAATTTGAAAAAAATTTATGAGCCGTTTCTTTAAAATAACAATATAAATCATAAAAACAAAAATAGTAATTATAAGTAATATGCCTTTATTAATTTATTTGACTTTAAGATGTATTTTTAATCAATTCCTTTTCCATTTAATTAAAAAAATAATAATAAACAGGAAGATTTTCTAAAATTGTTGATTGCTTTCTCATACTTTATATTAGTTTGTTTATTATTATTCCTATTACATAATATAAAAGTAAAATACAATCATGGTCTATAAAAGATGTTATAGGGATCATCTGTGTACATTTTTGAAAGCCTTCCAAGATACTATCGATAGTATCCTACGGCCCATCACTACACACACACTAGGTAAAGAATGACTTGGACTAGCGGCGCGTCGACGAAACTCGCGCGCTGCGCGCTGCTAAGCGGCGTTACCCCTCCTCCGCTTCCTCATACTTCACCACCCAAATAGTTAAAAATTCACTGCATACAGCGCCTTAAATGAAAAATAAATAAAATATGATAGAATCGGTAAAATTTTTATGCTTCGCTCCATAGATTCCATATTGATAGTTTTTAAAAATAAATTCAATACAATCCCGACATCGTGGTGAGAATTATGCAACTAACTAAACATTGAATTATATTTACATAATATTAATACAATATCTATTTTAGAGTCACAGACATAACCTACAAATGTTATCGCAATGATTTTAAAATGCGATGGTTCAACGGTTCAAGGGGCCTACCCTTGCCAATTGACGTTGCGGACGTGATGTGGGTACAGCCCCCACAGTCGCAAACTTCCCGCAATATAGCGTCTTATAACGTGTTTAACATCCCGTCTGAAGTTGCCCTTTATGTGCATCTAAAGTGTGTATTAAAGTGCATGACGTTGTTTCTCTCTTACTCAATCGATACGATCTGTTTTTGATTGCTCCCATTATTGTTTGGAAAACCCGAAAATTAGTAATTGCAAATACACAATATAAGAAGATTAAAGTAAATATGACCATCTAGACATGTCAGTAAAAGTACAGACTTGGATAAATTTATGTCATTGTATTTTATTTCAAACGGAACGTAAGGAATTTAAGTAAAAAAACGGTGATGTTTCATTTAAAAAAAAATTCGAACCGTGTAAATGCAAGAAATTCGCTCATCAATCAATTCACATTTAACACTTAGTTAATCTATTAATGTTACGAGCATTAAATAATTGTTACTTTAGAGTAAAATCAATTTATATGTTAATTAAGCGATCCAATATTTTTCTTGCAAATAATTAAGGTTTTTAGTTAGAAAATAATTTAAGGAATATGTTTCTAATAAGAATCAATAATGTGAACTTAGGTAATTGTTTATGTTTGGAAGGAACATATTTTAATTATGTACGCCAGAGTAAGTTAAATATAAGACTAGTTAAGCACAAAGTCACGGAAGTACTATATCTTATTCTGTTGTGATAAACATATTTAATATCAAATCATAATAAGATTAAAACATTATTGTTTTTTTTTTACTTGAACATTTATATCTAATTTTGAAAATCTGCTCTTTACTTCTTTATCTACGGCCGTTGTTATTATTGTGCCGCATTATAGTAATGAATGATGTCGATACGGTTTGATACCTGTGTGAACGTAATGGGGAAACGCGAGCCTCGAGAGCAAATGCGAGCGAGTGAGCGAAAAGCGAATAGTGCGTATTCGCGCGCGGTCCGTATCGCATGTCCGGTGCTTGCGTCGCTTATTTTTTTCTTAAATGACGTTTAAATAACTCACAACTTCCTGCCTGCTTTACTGTTACAAAGTATTGTGATAGAATTCAATCATGGATATTAGCGGTAAGATGTTTATAATGTTTGAACAGCCAATGTATTACTGGTTTATTTAATTGATTTTCAAAAAATATATTTTACAAAGTACCAACGCAGAGCAGCATACCGTTCGAAAAAGAACCTCAAATAGACAGTCAATTTAAAAATACTTATGGAATGTAGCGTCCCTAACAGTATATGTACCTAATTATGTTGTCGGTTATTATAGTACTTTCACCATAGTTACCAAACGAATATACTTACACACGTGAGCTCTGAGGCAGTTCTTTGACCAAAATATGTACCGGGTTCATTCAATTTACCATTTAATGTAATACAAGTACAGCAGTATATACTTTAAAGAAAATACACAAAAACTGAAATTATTTTTGACGATTATATTTATTATATTCAAAATTATATAATTAATTATATACATATTTCATAACAATGTTAAGTAATTATAATAACCTAAATTAACAAAAATTATGTTATTCATTGTTTGTTTGTAATAAATTTAATCGTTTAAAATTGATATAATTTATTATATTAAATCGTTTTACTCATCTATAACATGTATAATCTGCCATTCTTTTCATAGATATTGTATATACTTAGTATTATTTCGGATTTTTGGAACCTTTCCAATAATACAATAATGCAATAGTGCCATCTATTATCAAAGTTAGCAAAAAATAAGGCACATGCTGTGCTCTACATTAGAGGAGACGAAGTAAACTCGAGTGCTCGTTCTTCGTAAATGAAATTAAAATATTGTGTACGTTGACATCGTCTCTAAAAATGTTTTTTATCGAATCCGTGTTAAAATTTCCTATACTAGAGCTAAGTCTAATTAGAACCTTAAACAATAAACTTAATTTCAATTATTGTTAAAAAATAATTGAAATTAAATGCCAACCACAAGATTTTCACATAAAATTTTATGGCTTTAATTTTTAGTCAGTCTAAATCTATTCAAGCATTAATACATTTGTCTCCATTATTAAACGTATTTTGGTAGAGTAATTCACTCATAACTTTTCTATTTTTTTATTTTTTATTTATTAAGTTTTTATTGCATAACTTTCGACATCGAACAATACAATGTGGACTTAATGCCATAAAGCATTCTCTACCAGTGAAACTAAGGTGTGATCTTTAGGCAGGAACAATAACTTAAAATAACTATAATTAATGAAAAATATATACTTTTAAACCCGTTTACATATATACATATATATGTATATAAACTTCTCTCTGAAGTGAATAAAAAAACCGGCCACGTCCGAGTCGAACTCGCGCACACAGGGTTCCGTACTATTATCTATAAAAAAGGAAAAAAAATCAACAAGCGTCGCCCGCCTACGAACGTCCTAATCGACCCGGTCGAGGAAGGGGACTTAGACACGCAGGACCCACTGCCGGGGGTCTCTGTCCCGCCGGACAACACTACACCCACAGTTAGTGCAACAACAAACACACTAGTTCGCCCTCGCCTCCGAGCACGGCGAGACCAACACAACGCGTACACAAGGTACACCCGCGTTCCTGGGCGGTTCTCACCGCCCCCAGCCACCGATTAGCTAATTGCACAGTCGACGGCCATCGGGGTTTCGGTCCGAACTGCGACCTCGATGGCCCTTAGATGACACACCATAGTTAAACGCACGCATGAACACATGCGTGGCCCTACCCACAGCGGAGGGCCAAAACCCGTGGGTTCTGGCTAGCCCACCGGTTCTGCGTCAGATGAAGCTTTAATAGCCTCGGGACTGAAAGCAAAAACATCAGTTAATACAAGATACAAGATGTATTTGCGTTGACAAATATTTCATTCAAGGGCTGTTTATTTTAAAAAAATGAGTCAATAGTAAGTGTTCAAGGTAGATTATGCCGATTTAATATATTTCATTGAGATTTATTTATTATTATCTATATATTATCATTCATTATTTTATCAAACTTTTTACCTTTTCTCAATATTTCTTGCCTCAAAAGATGAGCTACGATTAAACACCCTCGCACTCATGTTTGCAAAGAAAGATAGAATGCAATTGAATACAAGAATAGCTTAAGAAATTATTGTGTGTGCTGTTTACACCAAAGAAAGTTTTGACACAAAACTTGAAGCAAGTCTTGTTCAACAGTCAAGAATGTTATGTGTTGTTTAGACCATGTAACTCATTTATTGCTTCAATTTAATTGTATACCACAGGCAAGAAACTTGCACCATGTAAATGGGCCTTAACTATCACGGTTTTTGAGAGAGACACAGCCTAGAGACATACTGACAGCAGTCTTATAAGTCGTAAAGGCAAAGAACTAAAAAAAAAAAAAAAAAAAAAAATTGGCAAAATAAAGGATTAGTCAAGCAATAGTTAACAGCGAGAAGAATTTTTGAGCGCTTAAGAGGCCGTAAGGTGGCAACAGCTGTTCGGGTAATATTCAGTAGTTGCGATAGACTCTTGTACTATGAGTATTCATAATTGTCCGTTAATAAGGTTTAATTAATCGAAAAAACTATTTCAATTTAAAAATATGGCGCTACCGTGGGACAAAACTATTCCACCGACTTTAAAAAGGAGTAGTTTCTAAATTAGGTTAAATTTTTTTTATGTTTATTACTTCAGAAATCCGTCTTTTATGAATTCTGCTTTTCAAATTTTTTCCTGCATTGGGTTCTGTTCAGGTCCCATGTAGTCCTAAGTAAAGTAAAGAAAAGTAACCCACTGCTGGGCAAAGGCCTCCTCTATAGAGAGGGTATCAGGGCATAGTCCACCACGCGGCCCCACTGCGTATTGGCGGACTTCACATATCTTCGAAATATATATTTTTTTGTTATTATTTCGAAAATATGCAGGTTTCCTCACGATGTTTTCCTTCACCGGGGAGCACGTGATAAGTCAGCACTTAAAGTTAAAAACTTCATTGGTGCCGGCACCGGGGATCGAACTCAGGTTGCTCGAGTATAATGAGCTGAAGGCGAGGGCCCACTGAGCTATCATGGCCCTCATGTAGTCCTATTTTCATTTAATTACTGTTGGACCTTTGACTATGGAGATATATCAGGGACCTCCTCAAAATAAAATAGGGGCGGTAGTAGTAGTATATTTTCAGCTGGTTGTTTTGTTTGTCAAATAAAATGTACTTGTATGAACGACGGATTGAATCGCCTTTATATTTCGATTTTCATATATATTTTTTGAACTCAAATAAACGAGGAAATTACCGGCAATGGTCTCACGTAATGGCGTTATTGTCCTTGGCATTTAGTTACTGCGGAAAGAATAGCAGAACTTATGAGTTCACTTTCTACTTTCTCGTCACCTGACGCGGAAAATCAATACCTTTTCAATATTAAACGAAAATGAGATTTAAATAATGAGATATTTTGTATTGATAATGAGAAACGAAATTTATTAACTTAACTAGTAGCTCTCAAGAGCAACTCATAAAAAATACCCATTTTTTTTTACTAACGGAAAACAAAGCCGACTTCAAATATCTCTTTATTCATTTTATAATTGATTTTCAGGAGTTCCCTAAGTATCTCCGAAGCCCAAGATCAAATGATGTACATGATTAATATGGGGCCGCAAGGCAAGCACCAGCTTTCAAATAAAAAAAGAATCATCAAAATCGGTTCATTTACTCAAAAGTTATGAGGTAACAAACATAAAAAAATACTGTTGAATTGAGAACCTCCTCCTTTCGAAGTCGGTTAAAAAGTGTGATGCGTTGAAACAAAATCAATGTTAATTGAACTAGAGTAGTCGTCGACGAGTCCACTTCGATCTCGATAATAGAAATGTATTAAGAAACGACCATATACGTGGCGATATGCCGCCTCGTTGTCAAAATAAGTTTTTACAAGCTTCCATTTACTTGCAACTATTTAAGTTTGTTGAGTTCAAATCTTGCAAGAAATAAGAACCAGTTTCTTAGACTTATGACTTTACAATATCGCATGTCATGCCCGATGATAATACACGAAAATTGGTAAGAATGATTTTTAGACGGAATTTTAAAATGGCTTAAGCCGATAATGGATTAAGCTGATATTGGGTACTTACTCACGAACAAAACAAATATAAAAGAGGTATTTATAAAAGCGAGTTTTACTTCAACAAATCTCCGTCTATCGATGCCCCAATAAGCAGTTAGATTAGAATTTAACAAATCAATTGTTAGAGAATTGTATAGTTCGACGTACAGATTGATTCAGAAGCAATGTCACTGACATCTACTATCGCTTATGCTATTTATCATTGTCATTTGCATGCGTCTGAGTCTGAATGCTTGAAACACACGATCAAACAAAGTGTGCTAAAAACTCTTTAAGGTCAACCGATGACTCCGTGGCATGCCTAGGTATTGGCTTCATGGGTTCAATTCCCACAAGGGACAACGATTTGTGTGACCCACAAATAATTGTTTCGCATCTGGGTGTTTGTCCACGTGAAATGTTTGTAAAACGTTCTAACAACACAGGGTTATGTCATCGTAAAGTAAGGGAAATGTTTTTTTTAAATAAAATAACTAAAAATAAATAAGAAAATTCTTCGAGGCTTTTATAGCATTATAATTGAATTGAAGGAAAATCTGTCACTACTTTAAAGTACTAGCTAGAACAAATACTAAATGTTTATAAGTTGGCGCCTGGATACGGAAAATAACTCGAGTATCATCATTATGAAAATTTCGGTAAAGATCTATCTAATTTATGACTGAAGGCTTGTGCTGCTTAAATGTTTAATTTCACATCACTTACAGGAAATTAAATGTCCTCTTAAATAAATTGATTGGCAGTGTTCTGTTCGATACCAAATGCGCCAATGTTTCGATAACTCTTAATCAGTCATAGACTCAATCATAGCTCTACTGGTCTGTTAACTCCGTAACAGACGATTTATCCGACAAGACAGAAATACGTTATAATTTTATCTAGCAGGATGACAAAACTTTCGCCAGTCATATTTGAACAGTAACAATATTTCAATAATTTAATAAACGAGTTGTAATTGTTTAGAGTATTTTAGTAGCGTTACTTAGAATGGTTTTTTAAATGCACTCTTTAACAAGTATACCTACTCGAATCTTAGAATATTATTAATTTACAAACTATCTGATAATTACAAAATTTGGTCTAATTCAATAATAATCTCATATCAATCCTAATAAGTCACTCATGAAGTGTTCAATTAGTTTTTAGTTTAATTCACTTGTGAGACTATTTATTTCTTTTTCGTATATATTATCGTGCCATCTCTGCGTTTGCAAATTTAAATGATTGTGTGAGTTGTGATATATTTTATAATGATGTTTTGGCCAACGACCGAACACATGGGAAATAGATACATGTCATCTTCATCATCATCATCCTCCTGCCCGTGTGGGAATCGAATCCACGACCCCCGATGCCGAATCCAATAACCTACCAACGGCGCCAACGAGTCTTTTTAATGACTATCACTAAATAGTATAAAACAAAGTCGGCCCGCTGTCTGTCTGTCCCTATTACGCTATACGCAACGGATGTTGATGCGGTTTCTTTACTAGATAGAGTGATTTATGAGGAAGGTTTATATTTATAAATAGATAAAACTATATTAATGACAACTTACTAATTTGATTTTAACAGCAGACTAGTAACAACAAGCTAACGGCATACCAATCAACATCTCACAATCAATCCATGTGGCAATAGCTGTAATTTACTGCTGCAGTAATGAATGTAAATATAGTATATTTATCTATATAATAAAAGCAAATTATTTGCATTCAATGTAAAGTAAAATAAAGTAACAGCCTATAAATATCCCACTGCTGGGCAAAGGCCTCCTCTGTAAAGAGGGTATCAGGGCATAGTCCACCACGCGACCCCACTCAAATTAAATTCAATCTTACTCAATGTAAATTAAATTTAATCTATATATTAAAACATTAAGAAAATCTTTGTACTGCGCCAACGGAGGAGTATGAAATTTTCCATATTTTTTTTTATATAAAAAATGCATCAATATTAAATGAAAGTAGTTTACGGATTTTATCGCGTTTTTTTAGCGTTCCTGGTCACGGGACAGACTAAGTTGTTATACGTATTGATGTCATAGTTAACCCCGGCTACCGTCAATTTTTTTTTATTTTTATTCCGATCCACGCAGAAGGAGCTTATGGTATCTTGATGTCTGGCAGTGTTGGTATGCTTGGATTTAATTTTATAAATTATGTGATCCCAAGCAGATGATAAACTGCAACCATCTTCTCTTTGAAATTAGGATGTTTCTTATTTCAATAGCCTCGCGAATCATCCTTGGAAGGAATCGGTGTTCTTTTGCGAGGATTTTCGGTTGATCAAATCTAATGTAGTGGTTGGGGCGCTTATAATCTTTATATTGTCTAAATCTAATATTAATTCATCTGTACGAAGCAGAGGAATACGTGTATCCGTGTGTGTACATATGTGTTTGTAATTGTTCGAGTTTCCTGAAACTATTTTTGCGCGCTATCTTCAGGCGCCTTCTATTTAACTCAACCATTTGGTTTAAATCGTTGAAGTATCTGTATAAGAATGGAGCCATATAATAAGTTTGTCGTCTAGCAAACATCGTGTTGAAAGTGGGAACAGCAGTCCTAACCCTTCTCTTATTTTGAGGTAACTGTTTTAGGTCGATGTATCTGTGATGGCGAAGAACACAATTAAATATATATGGTAGTACATTACTTTGATAACTGCTCTTTGAGCTTTTTCTAATTCCAAGAAATATAAATTATTCCAAGAAGGGTGGAAGCAGCCCCACCCCATACTGTGATATAATAATTAATTAGCGATTGGCAAAGCGCATAGTATATGTTGTTTATCAATTTGGGATCCGCAACATTGCGAAGGTTCCTGAAAATAGATAGAAGTAATAACTAATTCTTTTGCTTAATGCCGAAATTTGTATATGCCAATTAATTATTAAACCACTGCCAATAAAACCACTGGGCGAGCACTTGTCCATATTTAAACAACGTGAAATTGTGCTCTACTTTCTTTTTAAGGGCCACTCTGCATTAAGTATCTTACTTTTACTTTATGCCGGGTGACCGAGGTAACCGGAGCGTACCTTTTCAAGATTAAAAAAAAAAAAAACTTTTTTTAAGATTGGTAAAACAATTACATTTGGAGCTGCATGCTGCGCCGCCATTTAACATAAGGAAAATTACGTCATGTTACATTATTGTTACATTACCTCAGAACTTTCGGCTGAGCGAACCGATTTTGAGGATTCTTTTTTTTATTTGAATGCTGATGCTTCCCATGTAGTCACATGTTAATTTCATTGGTATTGGATCTTGGGCTCCGAAGATACGAAGGGAACTCCGGAAAATCAATTATAAAATGACTACAGAACGTGATATTTGTGGTCGGTTTTGTTTTTCGTTAGTAAAAAAATTGACCTGTTACAACGAAAAGTTTCCAGAGACGAGTGTTTTGTCAAGAGTAACTATTACGTCATTCGACAGTCGACAAAATGCGACAAAATTAGCATGAACCGTGAACTTTTAACTTTAAGCAGCTCCTAACCAAGTGCTATTATTGTGATAAAAAAGGATAAAAAAAATGGCAACACTATGTTCCAACAGACGTAATTACGATACACCAAACATTGAATCGTGTATGTAAACTAAACGCAACTGATTTTGAAGTACTTAATCGGTGCCTAATGACGGAAATCACGTAGGAAAACGAAAACAAAAAAAACTGCTTACGTCCGTGTTTTGGCTTATTTGAATATTACATACTATTTTGAACAAAATGGGGCCCCAATTTTGTTAAAGTTTTAAACCAAGGGTTAATAATAGTGAATTTATTTACCAAGTTGGTCGTAGATTAACCGTTTCTAAATAAGGTATTTAAACAAAGATAGGGCTTGCCAGTCTTCGAACAATAACCGCCAACAGGAGCTAATGAAAAAATAAAATATGTTGAGAGGAGATATCAAAACGATTACCTTTATTCGAATGCGTACCATAGTCTATAAAAATATATACGGAAAGGACCATACTCGATATCAAACTCGCAGTCGTTCCAGAAGTTGTGAAGTTGTTCGAAGAGAATACATAATACTGTTTCTTTTACGTGAAAAGTTGCACGCGAGCATGCTGTTGAAGTGGTGTCAAGAGATCACTGCCACCCACTCACCAGACGAAACGCGGAATATAATACTTCCACCTCACGCCGGTTTTCTGTGAGGCCGTGTTACTTCCCCGGATGTCACTGCCCATTCGTGAAACAAAACAAGCCTTGATTGTTATTGTTTTTATTGATAATAGCCCATTCGTGAAAGAAAACAAGCCACTGCGTGGTGCTACCATATTATTCAACTCTCTGTTAATTTCTTTATTCTACTTGTTTTAAGCGAACAAATTGACACCAGTTTTCAAAATTATATATTACTAGCGGACCGGGCAGACGTTGTCCTGTACACACGACTTAAATCCGATAACTTAAAAAATATTGTGAATCTAAACCATTCTCGAATCGATCTGAAGACAAACAAAAAATTTCATTAAAATCGGTCCAGCCGTTTAGGAGGTGTTCAGTGAGATATACACAGGTACAGTAGAATTATATATATACAGATATACTTAAATGTATTCTTAAATTGCAGTGAAAAGATTTAGTGGGTACTATCATGTTAAATTTAATTTTCTCTTTTCAGCTGATTATATGTATTTGCTAAAATATTTTAGTACGTATTATAAGGTAACAACCTTAACAAAGTTTCCAACGACAGCATGTAAGTGCTTATGTTATGGTTGGACGATTAGACGCCATCTTGCAATCGAGAGGAAATGACCATTTGATGGTTACGATAATGCCGTTATTGAAACTAACGTGAGCCGTAAACGTTAGGGTTGTCTTATGACCGAATTCATTTAAATATGTCCATATTGAAATTTATTATTATTTTAATAAAAACTCGCACTTCATGACTCTTAAAATGTATAGATAAAATTATTGATAAAGTGTTTCTAAGTATCATTTTATATGTATGATAAGTGCAAAGACAAGAACTCGAAATTAAACCTTACATTAATATTTCAATATTGCGTTTGCTTTTGTGCAAGTGGAACAAACGAGAAATAACATATTTTTTTATTATAATATATCTGTTGATATTCATATCTAAGACAAAACCACGATGCGACGTTTATTATGATTTTACGGCGGCTGGATCCTGTCATTCATCAATATTTCATCATCATCCACCCGCTTTATACAATAAGTGGGGTCGCAAACAACAAGATGTCGGCTTACAACATGATTAACAAACTGTTAATCATGTTGTAAGCCGTTTTGGCTATGTTTTTATATGCCGGCCGCCTGCCTGACGTCAACAGTCCTTGGGAAACCTTCAAAAAGTTATGAGTTTGTGCAATATACCGATTATTATATATGTATTTAAGTATATTTCTATGTATATATGTATATATTTTATTTTGAAAATATATGTATATTTATAAGTAGTTTATTTTATAAAAATTTTGTTACTCTTTTGGTTAATTATTTTCGAATTTAATTTTAGTTAGTTTTATTATTGCACCTGCATAAAGATCTCACCACACCATAGGTTGACTGGCAGAGAATGCCTAAAGGCATTAAGTCCGCCTATTGTGTTCCGTTTTAAAGGAAATGCAATAAAGATTAAATAAATATACTTTGTGCAAGTCTAAGACTACAATTCAATTACATTCACATACAATTTCCGTTCGTAGCGGAGGAGTTCGTGAACAGGATACTGACGAAGGAAGCGAGCGAGCAGCCGTCGGACACAAAAAGGCCAGAAGACATAGAGATGGAGCTACCCGAATGGTTCAGCGAGAAGAAATACAATCAGTGAGTAATGTATTTGATTAGTGCACCCCTGTTCTCCTGTCCCCGCACTTTTCAGCAACCAGGCGCGTATACGCGCGTGCAAAGGTGATTGACCGAAGCCTAAACACACTTACGCCCGGTTTCCGAAACCCTGATCATCGTAGAAATTAACTAATCAGCTGTTAAATGGCTTTTCGAATGTCTTTTGAGTTGCCAAAAGGATGGCTAAACTCTTTGAATTGTTCGTTTTTATTATTAAGAAGATCAATGCAGAGAGTTTAACGATTAAGCTTGCGACGGTTCACACAAATCTTATAGAGATGGTGCTTGTTTCATCGAGAAGTTAAGAATTTAGAAGTTACCTCGCGCTGCTTACGAGTGTACAAATTAGATGCAGATAATAATATGACACTAGCGCACCCAAATTACACCAATTGGTGTATTTTCATTGCAACTATATAGACTGCTATCTCTTTCCATATACGTTCTATATCATATGTCACATTTACATATATCTATATGTCATATAATGCAAAACGCAATAATATTTAAACGCCGCGCTGTATCTACATGGGTCATCATCATTTGTCTATTGGTCTGTAATACTTTAATCGTTATCTCACGCGCCAATCCACATAAAATTAAGAGACATGCAAAAAACATAAGGAAAAATCTTAAACCGAGGCATATTTAAATAACTTGAAAAACAAAACATTTTTGAATTTTTTCTTGAACTTATAAACGCAAATGACGTAACAAATTGCAAAGCAATGGTTGAGTGGTTCGTTTATAACGTAAAGGTTTAAAAGCGACCACTCAAATCAGGATCTTGTTTGGTAGACAAATCTAAGGTTAGGTTTTTTAATTCTATGGCAAGCGAGATGGCAGTTCGCCTGATGTTAATCAGGTGAACTGCCAGGTCAGAAGTATAACACTTCCAATTCACGCCGATCTTCGTTGCCCTACAATCATGGTTAAATTTTCCACGTCACAATTTAGGGGAAAAACTCTAAATGTGTGTTTTGTTTTTTCTTCCAACCCGACCAAAATGAATTGATATTTCTAGATGAGGATTTTATTTTTTTTATATATTTTTAGTACACTAGCTGACCCGGCAAACGTTGTTTTGCCATATAAATTATTTGTAGGGTAGAAAAAAATGTTTGGGGTGGACCACCGTTAACATTTAGGGGGATGAAAAATAGATGTTGTCTGATTCTCCACCCTTGCCGATATGCACACAAAATTTCACGAAATTCGATGGAGCCGTTTCGGAGGAGTTCAATTACAAACACCGTGACACGAGAATTTTATATATTTTATTATGCCTATACCATTCAGCGTCAATTTCGCTTCACATTGGTGGAACAAAAAAATAAGTTACAGGCAACATAAAAATATTTAACGAAACTTCTCTGTATGCAATGATAATTTGTAAAACAAGAAAGACAAATACGAGGTAGCTTGCAATTTTATAGACACCTATCTCTCTCCATATCATATGTCACAATCTATATCATCTGTCACAATTATATATATATATCATTATATCATATAGTGCAGAGCGGGACAATTTTTAAACGCCGCGTAGTATGGACATGCGTCATCATTATATTAAAACATCATTGTCTGTTTGTTGTGGTAATTAGATAAGTACATGAGTAGGTCATCAATAAAGCTTTTAATGCGTACCGTCTACTCGATTATTACAGGGGCCGCCGCTTCTATTGGGACAACTGCTTCGCGATAACGTCATCGATGCTGCTCGGTCTCGTGGCGGTATTCGCTGTGCCCTCTATCCTCAGGGTGCTGATCAGCTCGCGCCGTTCCAGCACCGTGTACACCGCGTACAGGAGATACCTCTCGACTGTCCTCCACACGGTGTCCTGGTTCGAGAACGATCTGAAACCGGGCAGCAGGTGGGTTCCGGCACGGCGAACTCTTCGTTGACCAACACAACCGAAACCCGAAGATACCGGCGACCCTGCGATTCGGTAGCTGCCTTCAAAATCGCAGAAATACGTGAACAGTTGAACAAGAAAGTCGTCAAGAGCGGCCCATTGAGCCTTCGCCCGTGTGTTTTGAGTTCTGAAATAACTGTGGTAAGACCACGCAATAGTGGTCGCTGTTGCACGAATGGGCAGGTCCGGGTGAGTACCACGACCTCACAGAAGACCGGCGCAAAGTGGAAGTGTCACACTTTTGCGTTGTGGGGAGTGAGGTAGCCGGGGGCCACTTTATTAAAAGGTGGCAACGCATGGCCATGGACGGCGGTTGTCACTTAACATCAGGTGAACCGCCACCTCGTTTGCCACTTTCTCACATAAAAAAAATAATGAAGGGCACACGTTGACTTGAACAAGTGTAACACAGGGCTTAAACTTGTTTGAATCGCCGAGTCAACGTACGAGCTCGACCTCTATCGAAGCTGATTTCTTCGATGCTTTTAACGAATGACATTTTACCGCATTCAATATTTTAAGCAACCTTCTCTCATTTCGGCGTGTATAGACGCGAGCAACCTAAGTTCAAATCAAGGTGCCTGCATCAATTAAATTTTTACTTGCAATTCTAAGTGCTAAACTTAACACGTGCTCGGCGATGAAGGAATTAACCGTGAGGAAACCTCAATATTTTCGAAATAATAACATAAGAAATTTAAGAGTGGCATGGTGAATTATGCCATAGTACCCTCTATACAGAGGATGAGGAGTGGGTTCGATTCCCGCGCTTGTGTGACCCACAAATAATTGCCCCGTATCTGGTTGACGTCGGCCGGTCGTAAAATTCATAGCCGAGGCCGCTTACAACATGATTCCGACCCCGCCTTAGACAAGGGCAGGACGATGATGTTAACCCTGTATACAGAGGTGGCCTGTTCCCAGCAGTGGGACATTTATAGGTGACATTATTTTGACTCTAAGAACATTCCTTAGTTCGTGGCGCTCGTTGTACACAGTGCGGGCGAGGCACGTGCGCGCCGGCCTCGCCGCGAAGGCCAAGGGCGTGGGCACAGTGTCCCAGCGGGACCTGGCCCTCACGCAGTTCGGCTTCCTCGGCTTCGCGGTCCTCAAGCCGGACAAGTTCGGCATAACGCAAATGCAGCCGGGCGACTGGGACGCGTACGTGCACTTCTGGCGCACGATCGGCCACATGATCGGCCTGGAGGATAGGTGAGTACGTCACTTTCTAGCGGCCGCGGTTGACCCGCGTCGGAGCGGGACGGCGCGTGCGTGCCTGTTTCGTCGTTATTTCTACTTTTGTTTTTCGGTCTTTTTGTAGACGGCTAAGCCAAGGCTTCAAGCAAGGCCCGCACGGGTCAAGTACTTTTGTGACCTATTTTCAATCATTTTTTTCATCAATTTTTCCGGACGGTCGTAAATAATCTAGCTAATACAATTTGCAATATGATTGACGTGTTGTACTTACCAGACCTGGGAGGGAAAGCAGGGCACAGAAAAGAATTTTTCTAACAAGAAGTAGAAAATGGGAAATGGGAATCTTATGGGAATTTACAGGTATGGCGCTAATGCGTAATGGAAAAAATTTCGTTAATAAAATTAAATAAATTAGCAATTAATCCTTGTATTTTTTTTAACAAAATCTTTATTGATCTAATATTTACAAGATTAAAAATATCTAAAATTACATATTATCTAATAAACCTAATCTTGAATTTTTATATTTCATATCTAATATAAACCATTCGCTACTACTTGGAGATATCTCGCGAATTTACAATTGATACTAATGTACAGGAATTTCGACCAACAAGGTAATATCTATAATCCCATTTATTATCAAAAAGTAAGATAGACGTGACGTTAAAAGCTACATAGATTAATATTCTTATCTAATTGTTAAATTAGGAACATCAAGAAAAAGGGTAATCTCATTAAATCTTTTTTCATTAAATCTTTTTTCATTAAAACTTTTTTTCATAATTTTTTTTTATACATGAGCTAAATATTAAATTATTTAAAATAAACTAGAAATTTTATAATAGTAATTATTAGAAATAAATAAATATTATTAATGATAATAATATAAAATGTGACTTCTCCTATATACAGCGTGTCGTTACCATCGCGACAATAAATGAACACACGTCTAACGCTACTTGCCAATAATCATAAAAAAATATTAACGTTAAACAAAATCCATAAATAGAAAAAAATATTTTTCAAACAAACTAATTAAGTAAAAAAGAAACAAAATTTGTAAATCCTATACAACTCGCGCCACAGCGTCGCATTACAAGCCTCTCCTTCTAACAGTATGTTCTGTCTCTTTTAAATTCATTCAACCCATTCATATGCTTTGTGACCTTTACAAAGGAACTTTACGTTACGCTTTTATAGGTAAGGGCTGTTCTAAAATTCTTTGTTTTGGAAAATTTAATAACTCTGTAAATATTGATGTTTAAAGAATTTAAATGTTTAATAAAACTTTAAAAAGTTATCCCCTATATGTGTGTTCATTTATTGTCGCGATGGTAACGACACGCTGTATAAGTTCCTTCAAAACTCAAACACATTAATACTAAACAAGTAAGATTGTATTTGTTTAAAATTGCCAGACAAGAAGGCGTTTAATTTAATTTTCAACAGCTAATATCTTGAATCTTTTACTGACTAATGGTTACGGGCTAGACTAGTTCAAAAGGATCCCGAGGATGAAGACCCGAACGATATAAAATACGATATCAACGCCCGTCCTTATCTAACGTAAAGTTTCTGATTAGGGGGGCAAAATGCGAGCTCGCCTGACTTGTCATTGTGGCAGCTGAAGCGGCTGCGTGGTCCTATCACGGTTTTTTTATGTGAGAAGGTGGCATACGAGCTGGCGGTTCACATGATGTGAAGTGGTAACCGCAGCCCATTTACTTTTGCGACATTCGTGGGCTTGCAGATGCCATCTCTTAATAAACTGGGCGCCGGCCACTCACCGGACCAAACGCAGAAGTATAACACTTCCACATTGCGCCGGTCTTCTCTGAGGTCGTGGTATTCGTGAAACAGCGAAGACTGTTGCGCGGCCTTACCACCGACAAAAGTTTGGAAGCGAGTGCTTCTTCTTGCACGGTCCCTCAAATCTTGGTTATCGTAACCACGTCTCGTTCTCTTCCACCGCTTGCGGTCGTAGGCGTACGAACGGCGCGTTGGATGCCGCCCCCCTCCGCGTTCTTCACCGCATCGCCCCGTCTTGTCGTTGCCCCGAATCGATCACGTCTGATCACACTACCAAGAGCTCCCAAGTACTAGGAACACAGAACTACCAAGAGCTCCCAAGTACTGGGAACACAGAACTACCAAGAGCTCCCAAGTACTGGGAACACAGAACTACCAAGAGCTCCCAAGTACTAGGAGCACAGAACTACCAAGAGCTCCCTCGTACTAGGCACTCGAATCGCGCAGGTACAACATCTGTCGCGATAGCTTCGAGGAGACCCGGCGCGTGTGCCGCGTGCTGCTCGACCGGGTGTTCGCGCCGTGCCTGAACAGCGTGCCGGAGTACTTCGAGCACATGGCGCACGTGATGCTGGACGGCATGTGGTGCGTGAACCCGACGGTGAACTGCGACGCGCTGCTGTACTGGACCCGCCACCTGGCGGAGGTGCCGGGCTACGTCTACACGGAGGCGGAGCGCGGCCTCTTCCAGAGGACGCTGCGCGAGCGAATGCGCGGCCAGCCCGAGGACGTGGGTAAGGGGCCATTATAATAGCCCATTGTTAACTACACACTAAAAACAAAACCGAATACAAAAAGTCCTCGCTCTGTATTCATTTTGTAATTGGTTTCGCTAAGTATCTCCGGAACCCAAGATCCGATACCAATGTCTGTGGGACCATATGGGAAGCACCAGCTTTCAAATAAAAATGTGAATCATTAAAATCGATTCTCTCATTCAAAACCGCCTCCTGTCGGTTAAAAATGATGCAACAGGTGTTGTTAAACAGTCATTGAACAGTTTATCCGTTTGAGGTTGTTTTCCTTCGTGATATTCTCGAATGTTTTCTCGCTTTTAGTTAGTTTAATAATTACGATGCATGTCTTCGTGTTCATTTTCACTTTTAGCCGATCTGTGGTGCTGGATATTCCTTTTCTTGTCTAGCTGTAAAACTAAGCCCCGTTAGTCCTTGGCGAAAACGTTAAGCTTTGTAGCGTGTAATCGCATACAATCAACTAATATTTATATTGCCAAAATCGGGTGTTCTCTTGAGGCTTTAATATGAAATTATTAATTTCCAGGTTTCGATTCTGCAGCGTTGATACAGAAAGCTGCTTTGGAAGGATTATCTGGACAACCTAAGCGGTTGCTCTATTTAAGGGACTACGATACAATAGAAACCGTCCCCGAATACAAGAGGCTGAGTTTCGCGGCGAAATACAAGCTCTCTTTAAACAACTTCTTAGTCGGCTTCTATACGACGTACATCGGCAGACTGTACTTAAATTTGAATTTCCTATTCAGTATAATACTCATGAAATACTTCCCGTACCTCGCCTTCTTCAGGTTCGGCATCAAAGCGTCCTTCGTGAACATTTTCACCGAGGACCCCATCGACAACACCGAACCGAAACCAAATTCCGAGTACTACAAGCCTTTGCCGCCAAGTACTTGGTACTCGGATTTGGCATCTGTCCTTTTTTAATGATTTTTCTAATTTGTTGTCACTGGCCACGAGGTCGACGATATTATGAAAAACATTATTAATGTTAAAGAATGTTACCATTTCAAAAATATTTTGAAATTATGACGAGTATTAGATATCGATACTATTGTCATTATGATGACAATCGTATTATTTAATTGTTTATCTAATGGACAAGGTAATTATTATATAATTAAGGAAATGTTAAGTATCAAATATGTAAAACTTGAATACTAAGATTATCATTTAACGGGCAAGGCTCAGTAACTGTAAAATATATTACGTTAATTGTATAGGTATTATATACTTTGTTATGAACAGTTATATAAATGTTGTCAGAAATCAGAATTAGGGCAGCGTGCTCTAAATGTCCGCGCGTTTGCGAAAAATGTATATCGGTGTATTAATGAAAAAATATGAATTTGGTGTAGGTAATAAAAAAAAAATTATGTTAATTTACTTATGGATTAATTTTATGAAATATTTAACTTACCAATTGTTTGATGATGCTACCTTAATTTTTGACATAATATGTTTGTTATTAATCATATTCTTGTTCTGTTTAATATCACTGCTTACATGCATTTCAAAAATATAGCTGTAGCGAGGTAGCAAGTATCAAGTACGAAGTATTATTCTACACAACATAATATTAGCTTATCTTATATAACCTTATCTATATCTTTGAAAGTATTGTAATTTTAAATTACATTTTAGCATGTACGCCTCAGTATTATCATTTGAGATTCTAACACTTTTGTGACAAACAACTTACGTATTCCATACAAATAGTTATAACTATATACACTATATTAACGTTATAATTATTTAAATTTTTCTTTATTATAGTCGCCAATTGAAATAAAAGAAATGTAAATATAGCAAACTAATAACTGCATAATTTTTCAAATTATTGCTGCTTTGGATAATTGAGCGGTACGAACAGTTTTAATTATTGTAAATATTTTATTGTTAATTAAACACATATCACAGTACTAAACTGTAACAGTATCCTAGATACACAACTTTTATACGGCGGCTTTAATATGGTCCACTTCTGTAACCGGTTCATGTCGGACATAGTACTCGTAGGCGCATCGCATTCCTTTCGCCCCATGATACTTTCTCTGTCGCACTAAGCGAAAACTGTCACTTATAAACATAGTCGTAAGTGAACGTTACAAAATACTGAATAGAAAAAAGCCGGCTGAATTGGTGTTATACCTCTGTCTGTTGCTTTAAATAGTAAACAATAATGTATGTATTAATTATTATGATTAAAAGACAAAGATAGTGAAGAATAAATTGTTGACCTGCATACGTAATTGTAAATAATCAATGCCGATTTTATTAAAATTTTATTTTATTTGTTAAAAATGCATTTTCATTAATTTGATTTTAATATTTTCACCCGATTGTGTATCACGACTTTGAGACATCAAAATAATATAGGACTGTACAATTAATTCACCAAAAGTAAGCTGATAGCAAATAATTTTCATTTTATATGATAATGTCTAGGATGTCGGCTTTCGATTATGACAGTTTCGTATCAAGATTTGCACACGAAGACAAACAAATGTTCTGTCCATTATTAAGTCTTCTATCTTTGGCTATCAACGCAGAAAAACTGTTGAAGGGGCCATTGTTCTTTGCATATCAAAGCTGACAGCTGAAGCTTTAAAAGACTTCCAGGAGGTGGAAATTTTAAATTTTACGAGTGACAGAAGAAGATTAGACTAGCTGATGGACGCATGTAGCTCAGTATTGTGCTTCGTGGCAGTCTGAAACGGAAAATGATGATCGAGTATAACGAATCACCTTAAAAATAAGGTATTAATTAAATTGCGTTTAAATAAGGTATTAATTAATTTGCGCGTAAAATAACTGATGCTGCAGAAAACGCTCTAAGCATTCTCCAAACAAAGAAGTGATGCATTGCATATTTTTCCTCGCGTTATGACGACAACGCCGACGATAGCGCTATGTCACGTGAATAAATTAACACTACATGAGCTAATTTTGTATCAGTGTATGAAAATAAATTGTACTCGATGTGAGTATAAATAGATTATAATACATTATTATATAATAATAATTTATTTTTTATGAATACATTATAATAATTAAATATTACCTATATAAAGAAATAAACTTCGACTTTTAAAATTACCTTTAGGTAAATAAGCACACAGAAGTTTTAAAAGATAATCAGAGATTTAGAAATTAAGTTTCTTCTTTCGTCTTTTTCTAAGACTAAAATTATTTATTAAGTCAGAATAATAATTCTCAATAAGTCTCAAGGTCGGCAGCTTGTGCGAACATCGTCGACAATGTCATAAAAATAGTTTGTTTTGAAAATATCTTTACGTCCGCATCGCACAACTTTGCATTTTCTCCCTATGTTATTTCAATAAGATATCATTCAGCCTGTTTGAGTCCACTGCTGAACAGGCCTCCCCCATAGACTGCCACGAAGTACAATCCTGAGGTCGATCCATCTAGTGTGGGATCGTCCTACAATGCGATGGCCAGTAGGAGGCTGCCACCCGAGAACCTTTCTTCCCCAACGGTTATCGGTTCTACGAGTAATATGGCCGGGCCATGGCTACTTCAGTTAAGATATTTACCAAGAGATAATTATTGGTAACCGTTTTTCACACAATTAACCAGCCAATGTGTAACTGCATCTTTGTTTTTTTTTATGGAGAAAAGGGTCAAACGGGTCAAAGGGGCTTACAAATACGTTGCCGGCCTTTTAGGAAAGAGTATGCTCTCTTCGTAACGGTTTGGAAAGACCACCGGCGGCAGCTGATTCCAAAGAGGTCGTGCGAGGAAGGTAATGCCTTGAAAGTGCGCTTTTGTGGAACGCTGGACGTCGATGTGGTGTGGAAGAAATTTTTAGTTTTGGTTCGTGTTGGTCGTATAGCCGCATCTAAGTGTTTTTTCGCTGTGCCACATTTTAATCACGATATTTGTTTTCTGTAAAATGGAGGGCATTCACTAACTAATTGACGGTCTGCTGCATTTTCTGCTAAATCACCGATTCTATCCTTCATGTCTAGTTTCGGAAGTGGTTTTAGCGATAACCCATACAACAGACATTTTGCCGTTTTTAAGGTTCCGTACCCAAAGGGCAAAAGGAGACCCTATTACTAAAACTCTGTCTGTCTGTCCGTCCGTCACTAGGCTGTATCTCATGAACCGCGATAGTTAGACAATTGAAATTTTATTGTTCCCGTTTTAACAACAAGTACCTACTAAAAAAACAGAATAAAAAATATTTAAGTGGGGCTTCGATACAACAGACATGACTTTTTTGCCGTTTTTATAGACAATGCTATGGAATCCTTAGTGCGCGAATCCGACATGCGCTTGGTCGGTTATTTTTAATTATAGTAAATCATTATATAATTCAAGCGACTTGCCATTTCTCTATAAGCTCATGTATATACTTCTTTTGAGTGGTCATTAATCGTCTTGTCTATTATTTTCTATATGTGAAGTCGTAACATAGTCTTTCAAATCAAAAGGACAAAAGTGGAGTAATCCACTGAACAATCCTTTAGGTATTCACTTGGCTTACAATCCCTGGATACAATTCTTGTATTTTATATTCCGAACAGCCGACACGGAGAGCAGTAAATTATCATCTTCACATGCATCTTTTGTTTTGTGAATATGATAATTTACTGCTTTCCAGTGCCTGCCAGTGCAATATTTATATGTTTCAAAAATCAAAAATAAGCATTTCCATGCATTAATTCTTTTAACTAAGTTACAAAGTACTAAAACCTCTATAATTGCAACACAAAAAGAGAACGTGATGTAGAATATAGGCATTTTGACTATATAACCCGTCTGTTAACTGTTCCTCAGTTTTTTTTAATACGTATACAGTCAAATACTACAACTATGGGATATAGTTATAACAAAATAAAACCAGATAAACACTCTGCAATCTCTATTAAGAAACAACAGCAGGCAGTGCTTCTGCACTTAAACCGAACTCGACGGCTATAAAGTCCGCTTTGGTCCTTCGCAACCGGACGTCTGTTGGGGGGCGCGCGGGAGTCCGATCGCTAGCTCGCAAAGAAGTCCTTCGCTTTTAGCCGCGTGCGCTTCGCCACGTTGATCCGGAGCAGGTCGTCGGTGAGCGTCGCGGCGGGGTCGGGGGCGTCGGGGACAGGCTCGGGGTCGGCGGGGGCGTCAGTATTGGGGGCGGCGGGATTGGGGGCGGCGGGATCGGGGGCGGCGGGATCGGGGGCGCCCCGCCGGCGGCCCGGCGTGGCCACTCGCCTGGGGCTGGCGTGCGCCAGGACGCCGACGTCGTTCGGCGTCAGCCTCAGCCGCGGCGAGAGTAAGTGCTTGGCGGCGAGCTTGCGCGCCGCCGGCGACATGCTCGCCAGCCGCTCGGTGTTCGTTCGGAAACTGTCAAAGAAATTTTGATTTCTAACAAACCTGCACCGTCATCGCGCGACTTGTGCATACAAATGCCTACGCATACTGTATACGACTTGTTACTCAATTTTCTAGCTAAATTGCAATTATATATCTTCTTTGAAACATTTTCATAGTTTCTTAGATTCGAATTAAAACAATTGCATTGGATGAACATACAATAAACTTCATAATGTTCTCGGCATGACAATTTGTTTTTGTGTGGAAACGTCTGTACTTTTGTAAAAAGTTAATACTGCGTTATAAGAAATTTTTCTTCTCGCTGATATTTTCTTAAACTTGATTCATATTTTCTATTTTTGATTGCACATGCGAACGTATGATATACACACATTATAAAAACGACGCCTATTGATGCTTATACTCTGAAACGCCTCTACAGCACAGCATCATGCTGTCCTACAATATAAGTTATGTTTTTCTTAATGTGGGGGCAGAGTGGCGAGGTGTGTTGCGTCACTAAGGGGAGGGGGGATAAGAGTCAACTGTAATGTGGGCGCGTGTTTAGGAGGAGGGAGTAAGTGTTTGGGTGGGCA